GAGTAGGGCCGGATATGGTTATACAATGCGGCTCAGATCCGGCCCGAATGCGGCCCGGATCATGGATGCCGGACCCGGGCCACTGCAGGACCGTCATTCATTGCGGTATGTGGGCCGAGTGTCGTGCCGTGTCCGCGCCAGAGCTGGGCCAGACCAATTTTGCTGACTGGGTTTCCATTAATGATATAGGAGCCATTAAAAGGCTGTATTTAGAGCATAGCCCATATTTTTGACTACTTGGTGGTGGTCTTAAAAGCACAATACTAGGTGCATTTAAGGGTGACTTAGGGGCATTGTGGGAAGAAAGACATAACTTGGAGCCACACTGTTCCTACCAACAGCAGCAACAAAAGGACTCAGCACTCAAACTACAATAACATTTCTGGTATGTTCAAAGTACATTTCTGCTCAACAATCCAAATGATTCAATAAATGCATGCACCTAAATTGAAATCATGATTGGACCTGCATTATTATGGGAGGAAACTGTTACGTGGGATCACTCCAGGCATGTAACGGAACGAGGCAAGGAAATTGGAAAAGTGGAAATTATCCGTAATAAAAATCAAATGAAAATGCTTTAATAAAAAGAAATGAAACTCCATCTTCTATTTATAAAACTAGATCCACTATATTCATAGCATAATGTCCTTCATTTTTGTTTGTTCAATATGTATGAGCTTTCAGGGTTGATTCTAAATGTAATTGGTATTGTAGATTTGTATTTACAAAAGAACCAAACCCATATTTAAAAAAAACAACTAAATTAAAACGAAGCTTTTCAAAATAAATAAAACAAATTAAAACTACTGTAACTGTATTTAAAAAATAAATGTCAAAACGAAATAAAAACGAACATTTCGAGTAGAATGAAAACTCCAGAACTAATAGAATCTGCCACAAGATGGAGCCAGAGGACACATTTTCCCCACAACTCACAAGTCAGATCACATTGACAGTTAAAAATAATGACAACAATGTTTTGTTTTTAATAGTAGACTGTGAGCTTGACCAAACCTTTTTTGTTATTGGCTGTTCTTAACAGCATAACATGCACTTAATTTATTATAGGAAGCGCAATGGAAAATCTCAGAAGGCACCTTGTATTGATATATACTGTATTTGGGAGTAAAAAAATAGATCAATAAAAATAAATACGAAGGTTTTAACTTTGACATGAGTGGTGAGCGCGAGTACTTCAGCCACATACCTCTACATGCTCCTGTGGAGCTCGTTTAATATTTTTTGCAACACTTAGCAACACATTCGGCAACAGTGATGCTGTTGAATGCAGCCCGTGTGGTACGACACGCTGACGTCAGATGTGTGAACAACAAACGCTTGTTGGACTTTACGAGCTAGCCTGCCGCCTACCTGCGAATGATCGCGTTAGACAAAAATACGTCCAACTTACTGTACTTTCCGCGGACTTGTCCGCCTACTGGATACATACCTCCTAAAAAAAAACGAATGATAATCCGGACCGAGAGTAGGTGTCTGCTCTCGAGCCCCTCGGAGACATGCTGAAGAGGTCTCGGTCGGTGTGTGTCGGTGTGACGCCTGTTTGTTTTCCAGCCGCCAGTGCTGTTCGACGAGCTGGGATGTGAGCCGATTGTTGCGGCGCGACACCCGAAGTGAGACGACCACAACGATTACTTTCCATGCGTCCTAAATAATGCACTTCGAGGTCCTACGTGACACGGCAGGTATGCGAGGATGCCTGGGCCTAGGTGTCATTGCGGGGCATCGACTGTAGCACGCTAGCTAACAGCAGGGCAACTCGCCGAGTTCCAAATGAATAAGATCGTCACTGTAAAAAAAAATAAAATAAGAAGAAAAAGACCACTCTGCTAATGTACCGGAGACGCCCAGACTGACTGACTGGCTGGCTGGTAGTCCTTTATTAACTGCTGTCAACCTCCATCCATTGTCATTTAGTGGCAGAAAGTTGCCTCCGAACTGCGATTGCAATTTCACATGTCACACAGGCATCTTCTAGTGTGCTATTGATGATCTCTACACTCGCACTCTAATTCAAAAAACAATCATCAAAGTGTCCACTTGAGAATTTTGCAGCCTGTTAACGATATCCCTGTCAATTTGCCGGTCGAGGCTGTTTACTAAGAGCGAAAGACTTTTGCGTTGGACTGGACATGAAAACGTGAATATAGGAGAGCAGCGTCTCGATTTGTGCAATATCAAGACCAAAACGAGCATGGACGATGGTCATCGTAACACTACCTTCTGCACGGACGGAGTCTGCATCTCTGAGCTGATCGGTGATACCGATAGGCAAACAGTGCTCCCCGTTGAAACCATGCCTCAGCTCACTGACAACCTTCTGGTGGCCAAGGGGGACAACCACCAAGTTAAGGACACACTGGAAATTGATGAGGTCAATGGGAATAGACAGAGCAGTGGCCACACTCGGTCACCGAACCCGACTGACTCATTCTTCCCAAGCAATGGGGACCACAAGGACAACGGTGCTGTCGATAAAATGAAGGACCCAAAGGACGTCGAACCCCTTCAGTTAAATGACCCGGTAGAAGAAGACGATGGCGGTGAGATGGACATGGGTGTGGACCTGAGCTTGGACGAGAGCGGCGTGCTGGAAGCCGAGACAACTGTTCCGTTGCAGTCAGGTGGTATTTCAGACCCCTCGAGGCAAGTTGTCCTGGCTGACAGCGAGGCAGATAGCCAGTCAAACGCACGCCTTACAGGCGAGCCAACTGGCACGGACCATGCTGTGCTGTATCCCACAGTGGAGGAAGAGGATGATAAACACAAGCTAAGTGGCAAGAGGGTGACGTTTCCCTCAGATGACGACATTGTTTCTGGATCAGTGGAACCGAAGGACCCCTGGAGACATGGTAATACACTCAGTGTGTGTACGTGCCTGTGTGTGTTTGTCTTTCTACTAATGTGTGAAGCTTCTTGTTATCATTTATTGAACCTGTTCAGTGTGCCTGCACGAACATGCCTCTGAGCACACCTGCATATTTGTCTCATAACAGTGTTTGTCGGTCACATGTGAAATGGGTTGAATCTCAACATACTCCACTTTTGGCCCCTTAGTACTCCTTGTATAGTACTCCTTGTACTATGGAGTATTAGGGCCATACTTAAAATACAAACAAAAGTAAAATCATGTGGTAAAAAAAATGGTAAAAAGCTACAATGCTGGCTAAAGGTTTCACAACTCAAATCACCATTTATGCCCACGCTAAAAGTCCCCCTGATACATTTTGTTTGCTTAATGATCATTTATCATATGTGCCTCTGTGTTTGCTGTATGCCACAGTGTGTCCTCGCTATGGAATAATATCTGCAAACACAAATATGCCGAGTCCTCACCCCTTTTACAAACGCCATTTGGAGTCTTTCATTAAAATACAAACAACCGCGCGACAAAACGGTTTGTCTTTTCTTCCAAAGCCGCCAAGTACACGCTTATCTAAAAAGACAAATTCAGTGTGTAACCTGCATGTATTTTCTGAAGCTTTACATTAGTCATCCCGACAGCGTAATGACATTCAAGACAAGTAAGGCTTGGTGAAATTAACATGGATCAATTGATGGATGCAGAGAAACTGAAAGGTGGTAAAACAGATAAACACGGTTAGTGTATTGTGGGTAGAGTCTACTGTCATAAATTGTATTTACGCTTGTCCAGGAAGTTGATGCCGGACATGGCACTGCCTTAATTGCGCTGCATGTCTGCTGGCTCACAGCTATTTATCCCATTGAGGTGTGTTGAGCACTTCAGCAGCTCTGTCAAGCAAAATGTTAAAAAACAAACAGTTTTGGTCTTACACATTAGGGCATGACCAGTTGTTTTTTTGTTTTTTTTTTAAACCAAATCAAAGTATGATTTCAATACAAATTGTTCACTGGTTCTGAATCATTATGGGAGGAAACTGTTACGTGGGATCACTCCAGGCATGTAACGGAACGAGGCAAGGAAATTGGAAAAGTGGAAATTATCCGTAATAAAAATCAAATGAAAATGCTTTAATAAAAAGAAATGAAACTCCATCTTCTATTTATAAAACTAGATCCACTATATTCATAGCATAATGTCCTTCATTTTTGTTTGTTCAATATGTATGAGCTTTCAGGGTTGATTCTAAATGTAATTGGTATTGTAGATTTGTATTTACAAAAGAACCAAACCCATATTTAAAAAAAACAACTAAATTAAAACGAAGCTTTTCAAAATAAATAAAACAAATTAAAACTACTGTAACTGTATTTAAAAAATAAATGTCAAAACGAAATAAAAACGAACATTTCGAGTAGAATGAAAACTCCAGAACTAATAGAATCTGCCACAAGATGGAGCCAGAGGACACATTTTCCCCACAACTCACAAGTCAGATCACATTGACAGTTAAAAATAATGACAACAATGTTTTGTTTTTAATAGTAGACTGTGAGCTTGACCAAACCTTTTTTGTTATTGGCTGTTTTTAACAGCATAACATGCACTTAATTTATTATATGAAGCGCAATGGAAAATCTCAGAAGGCACCTTGTATTGATATATACTGTATTTGGGAGTAAAAAAATAGATCAATAAAAATAAATACGAAGGTTTTAACTTTGACATGAGTGGTGAGCGCGAGTACTTCAGCCACATATCTCTACATGGCTCCTGTGGAGCTCGTTTAATATTTTTTGCAACACTTAGCAACACATTCGGCAACAGTGATGCTGTTGAATGCAGCCCGTGTGGTACGACACGCTGACGTCAGATGTGTGAACAACAAACGCTTGTTGGACTTTACGAGCTAGCCTGCCGCCTACCTGCGAATGAAAAAAACAACTAAATTAAAACGAAGCTTTTCAAAATAAATAAAACAAATTAAAACTACTGTAACTGTATTTAAAAAATAAATGTCAAAACGAAATAAAAACGAACATTTCGAGTAGAATGAAAACTCCAGAACTAATAGAATCTGCCACAAGATGGAGCCAGAGGACACATTTTCCCCACAACTCACAAGTCAGATCACATTGACAGTTAAAAATAATGACAACAATGTTTTGTTTTTAATAGTAGACTGTGAGCTTGACCAAACCTTTTTTGTTATTGGCTGTTTTTAACAGCATAACATGCACTTAATTTATTATATGAAGCGCAATGGAAAATCTCAGAAGGCACCTTGTATTGATATATACTGTATTTGGGAGTAAAAAAATAGATCAATAAAAATAAATACGAAGGTTTTAACTTTGACATGAGTGGTGAGCGCGAGTACTTCAGCCACATACCTCTACATGCTCCTGTGGAGCTCGTTTAATATTTTTTGCAACACTTAGCAACACATTCGGCAACAGTGATGCTGTTGAATGCAGCCCGTGTGGTACGACACGCTGACGTCAGATGTGTGAACAACAAACGCTTGTTGGACTTTACGAGCTAGCCTGCCGCCTACCTGCGAATGATCGCGTTAGACAAAAATACGTCCAACTTACTGTACTTTCCGCGGACTTGTCCGCCTACTGGATACATACCTCCTAAAAAAAAACGAATGATAATCCGGACCGAGAGTAGGTGTCTGCTCTCGAGCCCCTCGGAGACATGCTGAAGAGGTCTCGGTCGGTGTGTGTCGGTGTGACGCCTGTTTGTTTTCCAGCCGCCAGTGCTGTTCGACGAGCTGGGATGTGAGCCGATTGTTGCGGCGCGACACCCGAAGTGAGACGACCACAACGATTACTTTCCATGCGTCCTAAATAATGCACTTCGAGGTCCTACGTGACACGGCAGGTATGCGAGGATGCCTGGGCCTAGGTGTCATTGCGGGGCATCGACTGTAGCACGCTAGCTAACAGCAGGGCAACTCGCCGAGTTCCAAATGAATAAGATCGTCACTGTAAAAAAATAAGAAGAAAAAGATAAAAGACCACTCTGCTAATGTACCGGAGACGCCCAGACTGACTGACTGACTGGCTGGCTGGTAGTCCTTTATTAACTGCTGTCAACCTCCATCCATTGTCATTTAGTGGCAGAAAGTTGCCTCCGAACTGCGATTGCAATTTCACATGTCACACAGGCATCTTCTAGTGTGCTATTGATGATCTCTACACTCGCACTCTAATTCAAAAAACAATCATCAAAGTGTCCACTTGAGAATTTTGCAGCCTGTTAACGATATCCCTGTCAATTTGCCGGTCGAGGCTGTTTACTAAGAGCGAAAGACTTTTGCGTTGGACTGGACATGAAAACGTGAATATAGGAGAGCAGCGTCTCGATTTGTGCAATATCAAGACCAAAACGAGCATGGACGATGGTCATCGTAACACTACCTTCTGCACGGACGGAGTCTGCATCTCTGAGCTGATCGGTGATACCGATAGGCAAACAGTGCTCCCCGTTGAAACCATGCCTCAGCTCACTGACAACCTTCTGGTGGCCAAGGGGGACAACCACCAAGTTAAGGACACACTGGAAATTGATGAGGTCAATGGGAATAGACAGAGCAGTGGCCACACTCGGTCACCGAACCCGACTGACTCATTCTTCCCAAGCAATGGGGACCACAAGGACAACGGTGCTGTCGATAAAATGAAGGACCCAAAGGACGTCGAACCCCTTCAGTTAAATGACCCGGTAGAAGAAGACGATGGCGGTGAGATGGACATGGGTGTGGACCTGAGCTTGGACGAGAGCGGCGTGCTGGAAGCCGAGACAACTGTTCCGTTGCAGTCAGGTGGTATTTCAGACCCCTCGAGGCAAGTTGTCCTGGCTGACAGCGAGGCAGATAGCCAGTCAAACGCACGCCTTACAGGCGAGCCAACTGGCACGGACCATGCTGTGCTGTATCCCACAGTGGAGGAAGAGGATGATAAACACAAGCTAAGTGGCAAGAGGGTGACGTTTCCCTCAGATGACGACATTGTTTCTGGAGCAGTGGAACCGAAGGACCCCTGGAGACATGGTAATACACTCAGTGTGTGTACGTGCCTGTGTGTGTTTGTCTTTCTACTAATGTGTGAAGCTTCTTGTTATCATTTATTGAACCTGTTCAGTGTGCCTGCACGAACATGCCTCTGAGCACACCTGCATATTTGTCTCATAACAGTGTTTGTCGGTCACATGTGAAATGGGTTGAATCTCAACATACTCCACTTTTGGCCCCTTAGTACTCCTTGTATAGTACTCCTTGTACTATGGAGTATTAGGGCCATACTTAAAATACAAACAAAAGTAAAATCATGTGGTAAAAAAATGGTCAAAAGCTACAATGCTGGCTAAAGGTTTCACAACTCAAATCACCATTTATGCCCACGCTAAAAGTCCCCCTGATACATTTTGTTTGCTTAATGATCATTTATCATATGTGCCTCTGTGTTTGCTGTATGCCACAGTGTGTCCTCGCTATGGAATAATATCTCGAAACACAAATATGCCGAGTCCTCATCCCTTTTACAAACGCCAGTTGGAGTCTTTCATTAAAATCCAAACAACTGCGCGACAAAACGGTTTGTCTTTTCTTCCAAAGCCGCCAAGTACACGCTTATGTCTAAAAAGACAAATTCAGTGTGTAACCTGCATGTATTTTCTGAAGCTTTACATTAGTCATGCCGACAGCGTAATGACATTCAAGACAAGTAAGGCTTGGTGAAATTAACATGGATCAATTGATGGATGCACCCCTTAGTACTCCTTGTATAGTACTCCTTGTACTATGGAGTATTAGGGCCATACTTAAAATACAAACAAAAGTAAAATCATGTGGTAAAAAAATGGTCCCTCGAGGCAAGTTGTCCTGGCTGACAGCGAGGCAGATAGCCAGTCAAACGCACGCCTTACAGGCGAGCCAACTGGCACGGACCATGCTGTGCTGTATCCCACAGTGGAGGAAGAGGATGATAAACACAAGCTAAGTGGCAAGAGGGTGACGTTTCCCTCAGATGACGACATTGTTTCTGGATCAGTGGAACCGAAGGACCCCTGGAGACATGGTAATACACTCAGTGTGTGTACGTGCCTGTGTGTGTTTGTCTTTCTACTAATGTGTGAAGCTTCTTGTTATCATTTATTGAACCTGTTCAGTGTGCCTGCACGAACATGCCTCTGAGCACACCTGCATATTTGTCTCATAACAGTGTTTGTCGGTCACATGTGAAATGGATTGAATCTCAACATACTCCACTTTTGGCCCCTTAGTACTCCTTGTATAGTACTCCTTGTACTAAGGAGTATTAGGGCCTCACTTAAAATACAGACAAAAGTAAAATCATGTGGTAAAAAAAATGGTAAAAAGCTACAATGCTGGCTAAAGGTTTCACAACTCAAATCACCATTTATGCCCACGCTAAAAGTCCCCCTGATACATTTTGTTTGCTTAATGATCATTTATCATATGTGCCTCTGTGTTTGCTGTATGCCACAGTGTGTCCTCGCTATGGAATAATATCTGCAAACACAAATATGCCGAGTCCTCACCCCTTTTACAAACGCCATTTGGAGTCTTTCATTAAAATACAAACAACCGCGCGACAAAACGGTTTGTCTTTTCTTCCAAAGCCGCCAAGTACACGCTTATCTAAAAAGACAAATTCAGTGTGTAACCTGCATGTATTTTCTGAAGCTTTACATTAGTCATCCCGACAGCGTAATGACATTCAAGACAAGTAAGGCTTGGTGAAATTAACATGGATCAATTGATGGATGCAGAGAAACTGAAAGGTGGTAAAACAGATAAACACGGTTAGTGTATTGTGGGTAGAGTCTACTGTCATAAATTGTATTTACGCTTGTCCAGGAAGTTGATGCCGGACATGGCACTGCCTTAATTGCGCTGCATGTCTGCTGGCTCACAGCTATTTATCCCATTGAGGTGTGTTGAGCACTTCAGCAGCTCTGTCAAGCAAAATGTTAAAAAACAAACAGTTTTTGTCTTACACATTAGGGCATGACCAGTTGTTTTTTTGTTTTTTTTTTAAACCAAACCAAAGTATGATTTCAATACAAATTGTTCACTGGTTCTGAATCAGAGTCTGCATCACTGATCATTAGTTCCAAACATTTCGCCAAAATTTCACTGTTCTTTTACTTACCCACCTGGAACATTCATTCATTCTATTCACGTTAGCATTGCTTTGGTCCAACATTGCGCTGAGCAGGCAGACCCTTTTGTTTGTCATCGTAAGTTACATTATCTAATGGCTCTAACCATAATTCTGATCCGTGCCATTAGATTTTGCATTCCCACAAACCTTTTGTCACTGCAGGATTTGTTAATGCATTCGGTATCCGTCCATTTGTTTCGTCTACTAGTCTGGCAAGTTCTATCATTTTACTTTCTCCTCTTTAAAGAAAAAAAAAACGAATTGGGCCTGAGATCAAAATGCCAGGAGCTTTTTTTTCCCCCCTCATCGACAAAATGAGTCACCGTTCAGAACAGAGCTGAATAAATGGCGACTGTAAATGTTCATGGAGCAACTCTAGATTGCTGTGGCAATGAATGAATGAATGAATGAATGGAAGGTAACATGACTTGCTGCCTGAACCTTGAGTCAAGAAGAACAATAGTCAGCCTGCTAGGATGGTGTTTCCGTTTCGCCGCTGGGGCTCTTCTATTGGCAGAGCCCTTCAACCTGCGAGGCTCCAATTTGCTGCAAAATAGTCGCTCGGTGGTGAAATATCATCCTCCACAAACTCAAAGGAATGGACAGAAATGCGATCACATAACACACATTCCTGCACTACGTACCCTCTGGTTGGCCACAATTTGGTCCGCTGGTCGACTTTGAAAATGAAAATTCCCACTGGGATCAATTACATTTGAAATCATGTTTTTTTTTCTGGATTCAAACTGTATAGGTATTGTTTTAAATCACATTTTAACCGAATTAGCAAAATCAGCCTTTCTGGTAAGACAGTCTCACAAATGAGCAGGGTAAAAATAACATGCTACCTTAACTGTTGCAAGAGTATCAAATGAAATTAACCACTGATGTAATATACGATGTTAAAACAACAAGCACAACACTTTTCATCACAAATGATATGCATGTATATATGGAAGCTAGCCAGGTGGCGGCTAAAACCACGAATGTGAACGTTTAAACTTCTTGTCAAACGGCACAAATAGATGGACACAAATGCACCACACCGGTCATAGATGATCCGAATCCAAGTCCCTGACTTAAATAAGGTACTCAACAGAGTCTTCCACCAGTGAGTCCTACCCAGTTGATTGTGTTTAGAGCCTGTACTCGTACCCTAAAATCCCGAGTCGCTATTTGTGTTGACATTAACGAATGACTCCTGAATGGACTTGAATTGGTCATTCATTGTTCTGCCAAACATTAAGTTGAGTGCACTTTATCTACACCATACAGTGCCCAAAGCCCTTTATAAAGCCTCACTCTCACTTATTTGAAAATTATTTGTTGACCCAGAGAGTACACTGGCACGTCGTGGCAGCCCCTTCTCCCGCCAGAATGTTTTTTTCTCTTTAGTTTAAAATGGCTGACTGGAACTATCGTTTAACAAATCCTAGAAGAGGATACTATTGGATACTCTTAAAGAATTCAGGTTGGATTTTGCAACTGTCATTGCTGGAAATCCATCCTTGTTACCTCATCGGACCAGGTTCATCTTAGCTGTAGCTAAGCTAGCTGAAGAGACGTCTCTCTGGGACCCGAGTTGGCAAACTCCCTTTCTTGCTATGACTGAGTGCGAGGCGCTGATGTGCTGCCGAGATGGGCTTTATTGACTGAATTCCTAACAGTTAAATTTATTGATCACTAGCTGGCTAACTATGCCCACACATGTGCACACACTTCCAAGTGTCTTGCTCAAAGGAGCCCCGCCTGCCTCCGCACAATGCATGCGCACTCCCCACAAACAGGTCACATTTGCATTCCTGACTAGCATATCCACCTATCCATCCATCCATTTTTCGATCCGCTTTATCGTCACAAGGGTCTGGGGGTTGCTGGAGCCTATCCCAGCCATTTTCGGGCAATAGGCGGGGGACACCCTGAACCGGTTGCTAGCAAATCGCAGGGCACACGGAGACGAACAACCATCCGCGCACACACTCACACCTCGGGACAATTTCGAATGATCAGTCAGTCTGCCATGCATGTCTTTGGAATGTGGGAGGAAACCGGAATACCCGAAGAAAACCCACGCAGGCCTGGGGAGAACATACAAACTCCACACAGGAAGGCCCAAGCCGGGATGGAACCAACAACCTCTGCACTGTGAGGTCGACGCGCTAACCACTGGCCCACCGGGCCGCCTCTGACTGACATATACACAACAAAATCCAAAGATTCGTTCTGATTTGAGTCCAAAAATTCTGATTCGCTCATCGCTTTTCCACACCCGCCCTGAAGCCAATGTGAATCCTCACCGATTCGTACACAGCCTTAATGGTAATTGGGGAGCGGGGGAATAGAACTAATACCTTACAACGAAGATTAAACTAGTAACCGCCCTAAAAATCTGCAAATGTTGAACTGGGGCAAATGGATTTGACTTGTTTGTTGAAGATTCTCGACCTTTAATCCCAAAAGCTTCTTCAAGGTGTGGCGTCTCCCTATGCACTGTATGCTTCTTGTGACTCTCACACCTAAACTTAAGAAATGAAGAAGCTTTTTGGATTCAAGGTCTTCAACTAACAAGAGAAGCTCAGTTGCCTCAATTCACCCTTTGTGGATTACCATGACTTGAGTGACTGAAAATCTACGCTGATGGATCTAACAGTTGTTTAACAGAGGCGACACTTGTGCTCTGCAATCCACATGATTACACGGGGTGGGATGATACAGATCAAATCTTTTTGGGTCACAGTTCAGTGTATTTTCAGTTGGTGTTTTGTGTATAAAGACGGGACTGGACATTTGTACTGGCATGGTTGGGCATAAGGACATATTGTCTCAGAGAAGCTCAGTTGCCTCAATTCACCCTTTGTGGATT